ATGTTGGAATGCAGATATATTTAGTCCAACAAAGAAAAAAAGAAAAGAAAAGGAATGAGGATAATACTGATTTAAGAAGGAGAGTAGAATTGGGGGAAAAGTAGTCAAAATTGAATAAAAATAATAGCTAGCATTTATACACCACCTACTATGTGTCATGCACAGTACAAATATTGTCTCACTTTATCTTCATGCTAATCCTAAGTCTTAGGTCTTATTATTATGCTCACTTTATAGATAAAAAACTGAGGCAAACAGAGGTCTTGTGACTTCCCTAAAGTTACAGGACTAGCACATTTCTGAGGTGGGATTGGAACTCAGGTCTTCCTGATTCGAGGCCCAGTATTCTATCCACTGCACCACAGTTATATTCTGATTTTTAAATGGAATACAGTGAAAATGCTCACACAAGGATGAAGTGGAAAATAGAAGGGGAATTTTACAAGCTCCTGCTGAGGGATGGAAATTCATTTTTTATAAACTCTCTAACCACTCACAATGAATTGGTAATTACTGTTTACAATACTTATTTTTCTATTGGCTTATGACAAGTACTACTTTAAATGATAAATATATTTGAAGGTCAATTGTAAACATTGCTTTGGGGGGGGTTGTTTGTTTTGGGGTTTTTTTGTTTTTTTTGCTGCAGCAATCAGGGTTAAGTGACTTGCCCAGGGTCACACAGCTATTACGTGTCAAATCTGAGACCAAATTTGAACTCAAGTCCTCCTGACTCTAAGGCCTGAGCTCTATCCACTGCACCACCTAGCTGCCCCTAGGTGGTTGTTGTTGTTTTATCAATGTTTACATATGAAAAAAATCCTTTGGAAGGACAGAATTTTCTCAGACATAGCTTTGTTATTTCTACCACCAGTAAAGTGGCTACACATTCACTGAAACTCTACTGAATGAACGACCCATGTTGCCAACCAATTCCTTTGAGAAGTTGCCAGATAGAGGAAGAGTAAATGAACAGAGGATAACTTCAAACTAGAAAACAACCTTAGCCTTTCAATGAGTGGCATTTTAAGGACTGTTTGTGTAGAAAGGTTGTGGTGGTCCATGATGGTTTCATGATGACCTCTACCATGCATGCCTGGCAATCATGGCTTTCAAATAGCCTGCCTTCATTGCTGCAAGAATGCAAACCTAAGTGAGAACTTGATCTGGAGATTTCAAGTTTGATGAGATATGATTACAAGGTAATCCAGGAATGGTAGAACCACCCAGGCGCAGTAATAGACAGCCACTAAGGATCTGTGCATGCCTGTGACCATTTTGCATGCACACGAACGTCCAACCTTCCTGGAAGTTTGGAAACAATTTGATGTCAAGTTGAGAACCTGAAAGAACATGTTGCATAGAGTCAGTAGCAGTCAGAGTTTGAGGTACTCACTGCATGATCCCCAAAAGCAGTGTACTCCTGATGATGATAGTACGGAATCACTGCAGAAAGAAAACTTATGATTGAAACACGCACAAGCTTGTTGTCCCAGAGGATAAGTATCTTTGTAACCAAATTGGACAATTATTTGACACTTAAGGTACCATAGACAAATTTTTAGCTCAAATCCCTTGAACCATTGTCACAATCCTTCAAGAGGTTTATGAACCTCTAATGGAGAAGGGGTGCAAAAGGACCAATAGTGAAGCATGCTGGCTGCTTCTGTAGAAAAGGGTGATAAATTCAAATTCGTGTATCAGACACATATTTTCAGACATGAACAATGCCATACTTTTTTTCACTGTGTTTTTAGAAGGATTTTTATTCTACTGAGCAGGGGCATTTAGAGATAATTTTTTAAAAAGAAATGAGTAATGGCTATCTCAAAAAATTAATGGGTCAGAACAAAAACTCATGCCTCAGGTAAATATGAAAAACAGTGTTGGTATTCTCCATATGACCTCAAATGAGACAGCAGAAAAAATAAGATTAAAAGTGATCACCTGGGAAATTACATTACGCTTACAGGTAGGCTAGATCATTAAATAACTCGAACATTTAGTATATGTGCACCAAATGGCATTGTATCTATGAAGAAAGGATTGAAAGTGCAGGCAATGACAAGGGAAAAAGAAAGATCGACTGTGGAGATAATTTGTCAAGTACTGTGGATAAAGCATGGTCATTAACAGAGTTTGGATTCTAGTCTCGGCTGCCAGGATTTGGGTCAAGTCAATCAGCCATTCTGAGCTCATGGGCTGAATTGTGTGTGTGATGAGAATGATGACCCTACCTGTGTCATAGGTTTGTTGTGAGGATCCAATGTAATTTTGTGTGAACCTCTTTATAAAGTAAATCATCCTTGGAATGTGAGCTAATGGCATTATGAAATGATTGGTTTTGCCCATGTAAGGTGGGGTTTTTTTTGCCGGGGGAAATAAAAAGTAACTGAGTTTATGTTCTGCTGATGGAGAGAAGGGGATATAAATATATATGTGGGTGCATATTGTCTGTATTTGTTTTATTGTTTGTTTTCAGAAGGAAAGAGCAGGCTGGCAATGAAAGAAACTACTGCAGCACTAACCCTTTCTGTGGATCAAACTCACAAGCAAAGGTTAATGAGTGGTGGTCCCTCTGACTTCAATTGGAGAGAAATCTGTGTAACACTTGAGAGAATCCACACTGGAGAGAAATGTTATGGCTGTAAACAATGTGGAAAGGGTTTTGCAAAGAGGAGATATCTTATTGCACATCAGAAAATCCATACTGGAGAGAAACCTTATGACTGTACTCAATGTGGAAAGGCTTTTAAAAAGAAGGCCCATCTTATTGTACATCAGAGAACCCACACTGGAGAGAAACCTTATAGATGTAATCAATGTGGAAAGACTTTTACATGGAAAGATGGTCTTCTTCAACATCAGAGGATCCACACTGGAGAGAAACCTTATAAATGCAATCAATGTGGAAAGACTTTTACATGGAAGGACAGTCTTGTTAAACATGAGAGAATCCACACTGGAGAGAAACCTTATGACTGTAATCAATGTGGAAAGGCTTTTAGAGTGAGGAGAACTCTTACTCTACATCAGAGAATCCACACTAGAGAGAAATCTTATGACTATAATCAGTGTGGAAAGGATTTTAGATGTCAAAAGAATATTGGTGAAAATCAGAGGATACACACGGGAGAGAAACCTTATAAATGTAGTCAATGTGGAAAGACTTTTACTTGGAAGAATGGTCTTATTCAACATCAGAGAATCCACACTGGAGAGAAACCTTATAAATGTAATCATTGTGGAAAGGCTTTTAAACAGAAGGCTCATCTCATTGTACATCAGAGAACTCACACAGGAGAGAAACCTTATAGATGTAGTCAATGTGGAAAGACTTTTACATGGGAGAATGGTCTTGTTCAGCATAAGAGGATCCACACTGGAGAGAAACCTTATAAATGCAATCAATGTGGAAAGACTTTTACATGGAAGGACTGTCTTGTTAAACATCAGAGAGTCCACACTGGAGAGAAACCTTATGACTGTAATCAATGTGGAAAGACTTTTAGAGTGAAGAGATATCTTCTTGATCATCAGAAAATCCACACTGGCAACAAACCTTAAGAAAGTAATCAACATGGTAAAGCCTTCAGGCTAAAGTCAGTCCTTATTTACCATCAGAGAATTCATGGAGATACAGGAATTTTGTCTTATAACTGACCTGAAAAAGGAAAGTCATTGAAATGGAGTGCAGAGCTTCTTAGCAGAATATTCACTCTGGGTACAAGTCATCTATGGACTCCATGTGAGAAGGCTTTCAGCCAGAGATCATCTCTTATCCTCTCATCAGGGGATTTATAATAAAAAGAAATTTCATGAATGTGCCCAGTGGGACATGCCTTTCTCTAGAACATGAGGGTAACTAGTGAAGGTTAAATTTTGGATCTGACTTTAATAGAAAAGTGAGATAAGGAAAATAATCCATGCCCATCCTCCAGGTTGCAAAACCAAAAGAGGAGGCAATAGGCCCATAAACTGCAGAGCTGTGTGAGAGAATCCATCTGGATGTTCTCAGAAATAGAATGTCTTCAGAATAAGGAAAAGACCTTGGGTCGATATTGTGCCTACTGAGGAACAATCTTTGGTGAAGGGAAGATATCAGATTTGTTTGATCAAGGATATAAAAATTGGGGCAATTTGGGGGAATTTTGTGTTCTCCCACAAGCCACCTCCATGCATGTATTCAATCTACATACATCCAGGCCACTACATCTGACAGTCATTAAGATAAGATCATTTCTGCCTCCTGATTTTTGTGACCCAACAGTCGTGGTGACGAGGCAGGGATTCCCCTGATGGACTTGAGGCAGAGCAGAACCACTGTGTGAACAAAGCAGCCGCTGCTAAGCAGGTCAGAGGCCTGGCAATTTCTATCTCCAAAGCCTCAGTTCGATGTCTCAGGCATCTGGGCTGCTTGTCACATGCTGTCTATGAATGGGTGAAGGGCTCAGGTCCTGATGACGGCACCCTCATCAGAGGAATGGTTTCCAGTTCAGAGACCAACAGGTTGGACATAAGGGAGCCATTCAAGAGGCATTGTTGGAAGCCTTCATATCCTCTCATCAAGTCAAGCCAGAAGAGTTTTGCTTTGCCAGAAAAGGCAAACACTGATAGGAAGAAAGGTTGCTGCTGGAATTCATCTGGAGTCTCAGGAGAACCCGAGCCAGCTTCTTGTTCCCTCGTCACTGAATTTATCAGAGAATCTTAAGTTGGAAGGGCCCTCAGAGGCCATCCAGTCCAGACTCATGCCTGCAGAGGCCTCTCTTTGAAAACCTTTCTGCTTGAAGACCTGCTAGGAAGGCAGTCCATCATTAGGATGCTGTTCATCACGTCAGGCTGAACTCTGCCTCTTGCAGCTCATACTCATTGGTTCTATGTGTTGCTTCCTTCTTTGAATGTAAAGACTTTATTTTTTTTTATATTTTGGAGGCAATGGGAGTTAAGTGACTTGTGCAGGGTCACACAGCTAGCTAGTAAATGTCTGAGGTCAGATTTGAACTCAGGTCCTCTTGATTACAGGGCCAGTGCTCTACCCACTGTGCCATCTAGCAGCCCTCAAATGTAAAGGCTTTAAAAGAAAGAGCTAACCTAATTAGGCAGAAGACATTGGGAGAGGGTGTGGGGGTGCTGATGCCTTCCATAATTACCCTGGTCTAGCTATAATGCTATGTGGAGGGAGAGGAAGGGGAAATAAAAGATTGCTTATATAATAGATAGCTTCTTAGGCATATTGGATCCTTCCTTTCCATGTGGTCACCTACTTGAAAGGCAGTATGGTGGAATACATGTGAAGTCAGAGGACATGGGTTGAAATTCTTCTGGTTCTATACCTCTGTGGCTTTGGGAAAGTAATTCAACTTAAGTGGGTCTCAGAGGATATCAGACAAGGTGGTCTCTATGATCTCTTCCAGCTCTAGATCTCTTGATCCTATGGATCCAAGAAGCCAAAGGGGAGCTTACAGATGAACCCAACCCCCCCTGCCACTTATTGGTGGACCTCAGCTGCAGGTTAGGGCTAATGCCTCAAATGATTTTACTGAGCCATCTGGGTGTGACTGGTCATTTGGAGAGGCAGCAAGATGGGGAATTTTTAACTAGATCTTTGTTGAGTTAGTAAACGTGCATGTCATTCCTTACTGTCCAATCCGTGGACAAAAGCAGGCCAGGCCCATCAATCCTCCACCATGTCTCAAAGTCTGTCCAAGTTCATGTTCATTGTTTTTGTTTTGTTTTGTTTTGGTTTGGATTTTCTGGGGTAAGCAACGGGGTTGACTTGTCCAGGGTCACACAGCAAGTGAGTGTTATGTGTCTGAGGCCACATTTGAACTCAGGTCCTCCTGACTCCCGGCCCAGTGTTCTATCCACCGCACCACCTAGCTGCACCCCAAGTTCATTGCTTCCATGACACCATCCATCCATCTCATCCTCTGTCCTCCTTTGCTCCTGTTTTCTTCTATTTTTCCCAACATCAGGGTCTTTCCTAATGAATCTCATCTTCTCATTATGCGGCCAAAAGTATTTCAGCTTCAGTGTTTGACCTTCCCATGAATAGACTGAATTAATTTCTCTAAGTATTGCTTCATGTCACCTTTTTGCTTCCAAGGGACTCTCAAAAGTCTTCTCCTGCACCACAATTTTAAAATGTTGATTCATTTCCAAACTTGACCCTCTCTGCTTCCTCCCTCTGTCTATAGGTTGGAGTCTCTCTCCTGAGGGCAGGGCCAGGATCTTTGTAACTTCTTGGGACTTCACCCTGGTAAATCCCTGCAGGCCAGCCTCCTGCCTAGGAAGAAAAGAGAAAGGCCTCTCTCCCTCTGGGATCCATCTCCCTGCCCAGCTCAGTCTGCAGAGCACCAAGGCCTGGCCCAAGCAGGGAGCCTGGAGCCAGAGGGAATGGCCCCTGGGAGCAGCAGCCCCCTGCCCCAGGTGACTGCAGTCTGTGCAGACATCAGCCAATGAGGACATAGCCATAGACAGAGAGGATGATCTATGAAGCTGGCTGTACCTTCCTTATGGACCATTTCTTTACAAAAATAGGCACGAAGTTGGATAAGGCAGTAACAACACTGCCCTGCTCTCTGCTTCTCTGTGTTAAACTGATTCACTGGCACTCTGGCATATGGAGCACCGACTCCTCCCTCCCCTGTTTGTTCTGAAGTTCTCCCTCATTAGAATGGGTCAGGCAGGTTTCCCTGGTCTCCCTGAATCCCTGAATCCCTCCCCTTTACCCTTTCCTGGGTCCAGTCAGTAAGCATTTGGTATTGTTGCTGGGTTTTTTAAGTCACATCCGACTCTTTGAACCTTCATGACCCCATTTGGGTTGTTCTTGGCAGAGAGCCTGGACTGGTTTGCCATTTCCTTCTCCACCTCATTTTACAGATGAGGAAACAGGCAAACAGGCTTACACCTGACTGGCCCAGGGTAACAGCTAGTGTCTGAGGTAAGATTCAAGCTTAGGTTCTCCTGAGTGCAGGGCCAGCACTCTATCCACAGTGCCACCTAGCTACCCCAACAAGTCACCAGCTTTGTCCAAACATGCTCTTTGTGTGGAGGAAATCTGGAGAGTCCGGAAATTTCTGACCTACACGGCCATCTTCCCAGAATGCATCCATTGGGTTTTTTTCTAGAGGGGATCTGTGAATTCTTCGAATTGGAATGGCATTTTCTATGTTCAGAAGGTCTGGCCAATTTCCTTTAATGTTTCCTTCATGACTGGGGCAACTTTTTTTTTACCTAGTCATGTTGTACTGGGAGACTTGTTAGAAAAACCTGAAATGAAAATGTACCACAGTGAGTGAAGGAAAGCCTTTATTACACCTCTCACAAAAGAAGTGAGCACAACACACTCTAGGAGCATGTGGGTGCTGGTTCAGTGGTAGGATTGACTTTTAAACCATTAGTAAGATCCATACTCCACCCACCAGGGCTGTGATTGGTCTAGTTCATCTGAGTTATACTCTTCCTGGACAGCTCATTGAATGTTTGCCCATATTCTGTTAACTCCGCCCACTTCATGGGACCCATGTTCAAAAACGGCGGCTATCTCTGCCCTTGGTGTGTGTCAGTTAATATTCAATAAGTTTATTAAGCAAGGGCAATGGAGAAAAGCCTTTGCCCAGTGGAGGCCTAGCCTCCAGGGCTCTTTCTTAAGGAACTAGTCCTATGCGGAATGTTTGGAGTACTTTCTGATTGGTTGAGGGACTGTCCACAAGGGCTTGGAATTTCTTATCCTGCTGTGGAAGCCCAGCCCCCTAAAACCTTTCTTACAGAGCCCTGTGGTCCTTGGGTTGTCTGTGAACAATTCAGGATGTTTTAAATTCAGTGTGTTTGCTTCATTAAAGGACAGGTTTGCTTTTGGCTGTCCTTGGCTTTTGTTTGTTTGCACTCTCTATTGTGCTATCTTGTGTTTTCTTCTGAGAGGCTTGCCAGGGCAGATTCCAGTTTTCTTTTCCTTTAGCCTCAAGCTACCAACCATTAACAAAAAGAGATCACACACAAACAAAGGATTAAGAGGGTTCTGGATGGGAAGAAAGTGCCCACTTCTGGGGTCTGGGGGAGAAGTCAGTCAGAAAAGTCTCAAAGAAGCTGAGTCAGGTGAGAAATGAGGAGATGGCTGAGGTTAGCTTCCTCTTCAACCTGAGGTTGGGAGTTCACAGCCCCACCCCACATAGGTGAATGGGAGGTGTGGGAGGTGTTTGAGGAGGAAGGAGGTTTGGAAGAGCTTCTTTTGGGTGTGAGGGAACCAATTAGAGATCAGTTATCCATCAATACAAGGACTGCCTTCCTTTAGTGAGAACCCACACTAAGAATACTATGCAGTGAAGAAGAGTGAGTCCAGAGAGCCTAGAGAAAAGAGAGATTTAGAAATTCTTTGGAAGCTCAAAAAGTGTAAAAGAGCAAGAAATTCCTCAATCACTCAGAAGTCAAACAATAGCCAATAGGAAGTGAAAGGTAAAATGTGGATTACAAAGAAACCCTAAATCCATGTTTCAAAGTAGAAATCACAGTGATGAAAAATGAAACGGCCATTTTGTGTCCAGGATGGAGAATTGTTGCCAAATATCAGAATCTCTGATAAAGTGTGATAATCATTTAAGATCCTTTGAGCCCCAGTAAGGGCCAAAAACCTGAATTAATCTTTTCTGTCTGAGTGAACTAAAAATGCCCCTTCCTGTGTCAGCAAATTCCAAGACAAGATGGAACTGACCAGCATTCTTCCTGTCTGTGATCACTAAGGACAGGATACCTGGGACCAGACACTCTCTTGAATAGTGGGATTTTTCTTATCTTGGTATCCTGTGCACATATGTTATGTAGGGCAAACACAGATATCCTGGATCTATAATTTCAATTGACACTTTGACAACCTATTCAACTAAGAAATGTCCTTTGCCATGCTATATGTTAAAAAAATATATGGAGGCTGTATTTTTTTTTCTGGTAACACAGACATCCTGAGTCAGGGTTTAAATGTCCTCTAGAAATTGCTTGAGTTAATCAGAGTTAAAGCTCTGATTCCCTGTACATGTACTACTTAAGGGAATAAAACAACATGAATTTACTAATCACCTAGCTTGTTGTCTCTTTAACCAACTTTCAGGTCAACAATAATGGTGCTGTGATATCAGATTGGAACAGAAGAAGTTGGAGAAAACACCTTATCCCAGCAATGCTCTGAGGCTCAGGTGCCTCAGGATCCCTTTTTTCCTGGAGTTCTAACTTTGAGGGGGTCGGGTAAGTTTCTCCTATTTCCAGCTTCCATGGACCTCTCACTAGTTTATTTGAAGTCCGAAAGATAATTCCCTTTAAGTTAGCTCTGGGGTTGGGGATCAAGTTGAAGTTCAGAAACTCTGGCTACTCTATCAGGTCCCCTCTGGTAAGGATCGATCTAGAGAAATTGGCTATGGGTCAGTCAGAAACTAAAACTAGAAATCCGGTAATAATACTGCCACCTCTTATATGTCAAGCCATTGCCAATCTGGTGATCACAAGTACTGCTAGCACTGATATCAATTAACTAAAGATAGCCCCAAATTATGTTGGCCACAATGGGTTTCTTCTGACCAGTCAAAGTTACTTTATCTTAAAACCAAATTAAGTTCAAAGGCCAACAAAACATCTAACCAGGAGTGGGAATGTTTTCATCATTGGATAGCTGAGGGAGAAGGAAAGGCAGAAGCCTCTTCCCTTAAGGCTCACAAAGCCCCTTCAGCACTCTTTCCCAGGCTCTGAATAATCCCCTTCCTCCTCCCCTTTTCCCTTAAAGGTTATGGTCCTGATGGGGACTCAGATCCCCAAACTTAACTTTATTGGGGCTTGCCCCTTTAAATCTCCAACCTCAGGGGCACTCTGAGGGAGGCTAGCAAGATCCAGTTACACTATCAGACCTTGGATCCTTGCAAATTCCCCAACCCCCCTTCTCAGAAGAATAATAATAGCCAATTCTTGTTGGGGGCCTTCTAACAAGCCTCTAATTCCCTCTCCCTCTGTCATTAAGTGTGCACTATGTCACTATGTTTGTATTGTATTTGTCCCGTCAATTTGTCTGTCGGTGTGTGTCTCTGTATCTGTACCTTATAAGATTTTAAAGGCAGCTAGAGACTTGTCTAAGGGCTGCGGCTAGGGAAACAACAAACTGTAAAACTCCTTTCCTTGTGGGTCCAGGCCTGGCCAGCCTAGACTTACAGTGAAAAGGTAGATACTGCTAAAAACATCTTAGCAGATTCTAAAGGTTTTGAGATTAATCATTAAGAAAGGAAGTTGTTCATTTTGGGACTGTTGGAGAAAACTTCTGAGACTGGGGGTAATTCCAGGAGCTCACCCTCTGCTAAAACACCTCCTTCCAATCCTGATTCCTCAGCATTCCCCACTCCCCTCAGAGATAAGCATCTCAATAAGGGGACTGAAATGCTGGAGAATTGTAGGGAAAACTTAAATCAGCCTTCCCTATCTGGCAAAAGGAGGAGAGGGGCAGCTAACACAGACTAGCATGATTCTGCTATCAGCCCTATGCCCCTGGGCATCTTGCAGCCCACCCTTCTAGGCAAGACCTGGGACTAACATCCAGGTTCATACATTCTGCCCACCCTGCCCAGCAGCTGCAAATGGCACCAGCCTCAGTAAATTATGCAGCTGTGGGGAGGAGAGAAGTGGACAGGTCAGAACTATGATAAGATTCCAAGCCCTGCCACCAAGAATTATCACCACTGGAAGCCCTGGTATCAGCCACCCAAACCCCTGGAAGGCCTGGCAATAGCATTATGAGGTGAGAAGCCAACTTCTACTCTTGGTAAGCCCCATACTTCTCTGTTCCAGTTTGGAATTTATGGCAAGTTATTTTATCTCTGTTTGCCCCGATTCCTGATTTGTAATGGGAAAAATAATAATGGTTGTTACAGGATCAAACAATATAATGATTGCAAAGTGCTTAACATAATGGCACATGTTAGACAATATCATTATTATCTCTCTAATTTAATGTAATTGTTCCATGCCTGATAACTTTAAAGTGGTTTTTAAATACCATGAGTAATAAGATCAATAATTTCTATATGTGATAATCTGGAAATGCAACTGATGTCATCTGAAGTTTATTGTTTGTGTTGTTAGTATGTTTCTAAATTGTATTGTATTTCTAAAACTTCTTAGATTGTAAAATTTGAGAGATCATTGTGAGGTAGAAATGGTACATATGGATTGTCTTTTAAAAGGATGTGATAAAATTGGATAATTTGAAAACTGTTAACATTTAATGAGGTATATTTGGTTATAAGCAGGTAATTAATTGGTTCGTTTCAAGTTTTAAATACCTGATAATTGTTTATGGTATATATTTCTGAGACTTTTTTATATGGTGTAATCTGGTAACCAGATTGTATCAGCTATGTTGTTGAAAAAAAGCAATTTCTCTTATAATCCAGAGATGTTACATCAAGAATTGCTACCCCTCCAAAATTAAATAAATGAATTAATAGGGGGAAATGAATGTGTTAGAATAAACTTGCAAGTTCTATTTGCTTTTAAGAGGAAAATTCTTATCAAATCTGCATAAAAGTTTCCTGTGTTGTGGAATTCCTGAGTAAATGAGAATCCTTGAGATATGTTAATTTGGAGATTTATGGATTACCACATTCACTATCTACGTGAGATTCCAGAATGTAATAGTTTTTCCTAATTTCTAGTGATATATTTAAAGACAAAGGAAAGAAAAAAATACTGAGTAAATTTTTAAAGGCTTGATAATATATTTGTTATTGTGATAAGGCTAATTTAATGTTCTTCATGCATTATAAAAACTGAATTTTTTCTCCATTACAAACACCTTTTTGACTAAGGAACTTTGTGATATCTATGAATTCTGTAAGAACTAGGAATTTAGTTTGTTATATTACTTTGGGAATTTATGTTACTTAAGGACATCTTACATCAACTTAGTTTTAATGAATTCCAATTTAAAAGGTTTATTTTTATTTTAAGGTAGAAAAGAAAGATATCTATCACTTTAAAAATTTCTCAAATGTTCTTCATAAAAGTTTAGTGATTATTCTTCTTAACATCAGGACAAATTTTAAACTGTTTTTAAAGAAGGGAAATACTTTTAGAAAAATGTCTTGTTTTTTTTTTGAGGCCTACAAAATTTTCATTTGCAAGATAACTTACTGCTAAATTATTGTAATGAGCTGTAAAGCAGAAGAGATCTTGCTGTTTTGATCTGAATCTGTAGTCATTCATGGCCTAAGCAAGAGTTAAATTAGTGTTGAACTTATATATATAAGATTCAAATCCTGAATATCTCATTCTTTCAGAGTGAGTATAATTAGAGAAGAATAAACAAGCTTGTGAACAAGGACATAAATCCATCAACTTGTGAGGTTAAAGTTAGGAACCTCTTTGTTTTGTTTAAGGAATAGGATTCCAGTATAGTTATGTTAGTGAAGAGTAGTAACTGAGTTCTTTTGTGTTAACTTAATGGGAAATCTAATATTATTAATCTGGAATTCAAACATGCAGAAATTTATACAAACTTCTGAAGACTTGCCTTAAGATGTTCCCATTGTTTAAAGGAATTATGAGATCAGTAGTATTTTTCTGTGATCAGTCTCTTACTGTTACCAATGTGAGATTAAATTCTTATTATCTAGGATATGTGACTTTATGGGACAGCAATTTACTATTGTTTTGAGCTTTGATTACCAGGATAATTGTCTGAGTTGTCATGAAGCCAATAGTAATGGCATGTGCTGCAGGCTGAGAACTGATAAAGGTGGATGTCTGTGCCTGGGAAGAGTTTTGAGGACGACCTTGGACACAGCCTAGGTAGGATCTTCCTGACTCTATTTCCCAATTGTGCTATTTCCTTTCTGAAAAGGAAAATTCCCCACCTAATTAATCCTAAGCCCTGCTTTTAACATCCAGTGACTACATGATTGGCTATCAGATATGACTCATGCCTGGAATCAAATAGAGCTAAGGAAGTTCTTTCCTTCTGATATGATATATGACCTTGTCCCTCTGGAACATCTCTGAGTTACCATAATAGGATGCAAGTATGAATAGCTTACAATTTTAACTTACATTCATGGCCAAATAATAATAATATAGGATACATCCTCCTAAGGAGGAAATGTTTAGACAAAGTAATAAGACAAAGATGTAATGTGATAGATGTCTAATTAAATAGGATAGCAATTTTGAAAAAGCAACAGGATTAGACTGATTCCTCTAAGAATTATATACAGATGTATATGATTGGCTTCCAAAATGTATCTATCATGGAAATCCAAGCTTTAAGCATGTTTAGGTAATAAGATCTCAAATTTGGATTTTTACCAAAAATTGTATAGGATAGTGGTAAAAGTAAGTGAAATTATTTCTCCTTTATTAAAGTATCTGTCTAATAATTTTAAGAGGCAGGAGAGCTCATTTTGTGGTTGAATCTTCACATTTTAAATGATTCTTATACCAGGTACAGGATGTAGGTAAGAACAGAAGTAGCAGATATCAAAAATGAGAACCAAATTTTAGCGATTGACTAATTTAACAAAACAATTATCTGGGAACTTCTAAATCTAAACCAGAGAACAGAACTCCCTTTTTGAACTGCCTATGAATTAAACCTATTGTACATGAGCAAGGAACTTAATGTTAGTTAACATTGGTAATAATGATTGTATTGATTTGTATGGTTCATGTTTAAGGTTTTCTTGGTTATCTTGGTTACATGTAAATCTCTCTTCTCAAAACTAGTCTATTGTGACCCTCTAAGTATTTAATCTGTACCTGACTTAATGTAATTATGTGATTTTGTGAATTGTGAGAAAAACTTTGTAGTATTGTTTGAACCTTGCCCTGCATGGCTGGGAAAACTGAATCATCTCTATGTGCCTTTAACTAAAGACTTATGTTATGCTATTTTCTCTCAATTATCAACTCATACGTCTTCTAAGAGCCCCTATCAGGTCTATGTGACTACTCCCATAGCTGCCAACTTCTGGATGTGGACCGGATCATCTGAAGACCTGCTCCAAGTGGACATCTCTTCCATCCCTGAGGAAGAGAAGGTTTTTCCCACACCTTTCTTTGGTCTACAGGTGAAGCCTTCAGCTTACCTTTGACCAAAAGAAGGAAATGATAATCATTTAAGATCAATTGAGCCCCAATAAGGGCCAAAAACCTGAATTAATCTTTTCTGAGTGAACTAAAAATGCCCCTTCCTGTGTCAGCAAATTCCAAGACAAGATGGAACTGACCAGCATTCTTCCTGTCTGTGATCACTAAGGACAGGATACCTGGGACCAGACACTCTCTTGAATAGTGGGATTTTTCTTATCTTGGTATCCTGTGCACATATGTTATGTAGGGCAAACACAGATATCCTGGATCTATAATTTCAGTTGACACTTTGACAACCTATTCAACTAAGAAATGTCCTTTGCCATGCTATATGTTAAAAAAATATATGGAGGCTGTATTTTTTTTTTCTGGTAACACAGACATCCTGAGTCAGGGTTTAAATGTCCTCTAGAAATTGCTTGAGTTAATCAGTTAAAGCTCTGATTCCCTGTACATGTGCTACTTAAGGGAATAAAACAATATGAATCTGCTTATCACCTAGCTTGTTGTCTCTTTAACCAACTTTCAGGTGGACACTCATGATGGAAATGGAAAACCATCAGATTGCCAGTGCATTGGCCAAACACATGCTGTGTATGTAACAATTTGGAAACAGAGATGACCCCTTCCAAGTATCAGGGTATTTATGGGGATTAAAATTGTCCAGCCTCTAATAAGAGACTGAGACAGAGCTCTGAGCCAATGGCACTACATCAAGGGACCCATGGTCCCCTCTAATGACAGACCTCAGAACTTCCTCAGGATTTGAGATGCACCTTCTTCTGAGGCCTTGTTTTTATAGGGTTAGAGACCAGATTTGTTACCTGGACATTCTAAAGAGGCTATACAAAATTCAGCATCCCATTTGGTTGACACATGACACTTAAACTAAAAGAAAGCTGAAGGGCCTATTTTCGGGAAAGCAGTGGCCCTAAAGTGCTTTGGGGAGACCACAGAGCATGTGTGAACATTCTAGAGTTCTTTCCAGTTAGCTAACCACATGACAAAGAGGAGGCTCTTGACTCTGTGGAGATATCCAAAAAGAACTGTCAACCTTGGCCTAGGTACTCTTGGGGGATCAAGGTTATTCCTTTGATCACAGCATCCAGTGACAGACCACCCTGTAAAGGGAGAGGCCTTGGAGCCTTCTCCCCTTTGAGGCCACAAGGCCATGAGAAAGGTCCTAATTTCTTGTCCTCTATGTTTGTTCTTTTCAGTTAGAGGTGAAGGAATTTGGTGCTTCCAACCTTAGGAGTTTTGAAAGGTCAGGAGGGCGCCTCAGCATCCCAGCATTCCAGAATGTGGGTTTGCAGAGAAAGTGAACTGTCCTTCCAGACCCCAGCCCAGCAGCAGCTGATAAGGCCTCATCCCGCATCAATCTCAGCGTGGGACATGAATTTAGTAGGAACTGAGCTAAGTTGAGATAACTTCCCCACATCCCTAGAGACTGAGATTCTGTAGGGGAGAATGGGCCCCAGATGTATTGGGAAAGACATTTTTTCCTTACGATTTTTGTGAAGTGAATATTCCTTTGTAAGTGCTTGTGGGGTCCCAATTGGTGAAAGCTGTAACAAGGACATAGTGGCCAGCACACAACCTTGAGTGCCTGGGCACATTTACCAAATAGTGCTGGGTAAATGCCTAGATATCTGAGAATTGGACCCAGTACTAAGTATAAACTAAAATATTAACCAAATCATTAACTGAGCAGAAAAACCCCAAATATCCACCAATCCACGATGAAGCACCCTATGGCTCCTCTTCCCTTTGTCTGATTTCTATAATTACCATGAGGATTTCTGGGAGGTCTTTGTGGAGATCCACTGAATTATCTTGCAGCCATCCTAGATTGCCCCTTCTTGTAAGTACTTGTAACGATCGATTAAATGCCTATAATCAATCTGGAGCCCCTTGACCTCCTCCTTTGGTATCAAACTCATCCTGCGGTACTGGGGGAGGTACAGGGTTCCCCAGCCAGGGGAATTCCAGACCTTACAGTGTTTAACAAAGATGCCAGTTACAGGTCCCTAAAACAGGAGGAACATGGGCATGGGAGCACAAGACAATGAAAATTAAAGACACCTCATAAGTCCCTTAGGGTATACTGGCCCTGAGAGAGAGGCTAAAACATGCCACACTACACCTACTGTTATCCTCTCTGCCAATCACAGCTTGCTTTTTAGGAAATTGCTCAGAGCTCCAAAGTTATAGTCAATGAGATAAGGTTCTACATGTCTGTGAGGCTTGGTTAGGAATGTGGTATGAGCCCATCACCTTAAGGTCTGGATTTCTCACAGGGTTGTCCTACAAATGCTGCCACTCTTCACTTAGAAAATTAAAGTGGGTTTGAGAATTTAGGCAAGTGGCACTTCCAGATTAAGCTGTGCCCTTCTCTACGTCTGTAGGTGGGGCTCCTGGTGATGAAGACTCTCAGTGGGTCTGGTGAAAGGCAGCGTTGAAGAGGTGGTCGAGCAAATACACAAGCCTTGGGTGCAGCCTCAGGTGCTGGGCTTTCATCAAGTATTATCTGTCACCACATTCACTAGACTCCTTTGCCTGGGTAGCTTTTGTGGGGCTTGTTAAGCAAGAAGGGGCCAGGCATGTGAAGCATATAAGAGTAGGAAGAAGTGATGATAGGACTGTTTCATCTACGTGACTTGACTCCCAAACAAGCCTGATAAGGGAGTGGTATCCCTGTGTCATATGCTACCAGCACAATTTAAGTTTTAAGACTAGTGCAAAGAATGTGGATGCAACCCTGCATGACTATGTAGAAATGAGAAGGTGCAAGAGCTTTGGAGAGGAGAGACATTACTGCTTCAAGAGAGAGCTCACATGGTTTCAGACTCTTATTCTCCAGAGGAAAAGGGGGGAAAAAATATGTTGTGAGCAAAAAATATATATGTAAGGAAGTTAGCTCCTGAACATGTCCCCAATTTGCAGCTTGTCTCTCTAGAGTTTGGGGAACTCCCCCTTGGGTAAGATTGGGGTGCCTCTTGGTTATCTTACTCCCATGGTGAGAATTTATTCACTCTGTAACTTCTGGCATATTCTAATCTGTAAAATGCTATTTCCTATTTGCTTGGTTAAATGCTTAATTACTATTCACTACTTGTGATAGTCTTTTGTGTATCTAGCATTTGTTGGAAAGAAACCAAACCTGCAAGGTGTAAGCTTTGGCTACCCTCACCCAATAAAAGCAAAAGCTAGAGACTTTGTTGGAACTTTAAAAGTCCCCTTTTCTTGCTTCCCTGTAGGCAGAAATACAAGTCTCCCTTGGAAAGGGCGGGCCAAACTCCAGACACATCCATCAATGTCTACCTTCTAGCTGCTGTCTATAGATTCTGCTATCCCATAGAGGTGTATCTTACATGGGCAGCATACAACATACTGATATCCCCAGTTACTTTGATGTTGTATGCTTTTAGATCCTTTTCTGGAAGTCCACCCTGTAAGTGCACCTTGTTCATATTTGCTGGGGTTTCAAATTCACAGATTCCCTCTAATCTTGCATTTCCTCCCTCGTGCTGGTTTTCAAATGCTCTTTGGCTTGGGAAATAGCAAAGCCCTCACACACACTGGTCATAACAATTATCATTAATATTTATAACCCAAGTAGAATGAAACCAGATAAGTGGTGGAGAGCCATGAAGCAGCTGGCTCTTATATGAAGACAGCAACACTGAGATGAGTTAAAAAGTGGAGTTTTTACTCTGTGTGGTCAGGGCTCATTTCACTCTACATCCTCTTCAGCTTGAGTCTCTGTCGGTATTTCAGTTTTCCTTTGTTGTTTTGTTTCAATTATTGGTGCCCTTTCCTATTGTGCTTTTGGCACAGAGATAACAGGTTGGCTTAGGCAGAAACCACAGGCTAGTCTAGCTTGACCCCTTGGAAAGCTCCCACTGTCTAAGGATGATTGTGCATTTATGTTTCAGATCCAGAGTAATTGTGGCATACAGACAGGAGCAGCATGAAGATGCTGGTGTACCACCAGGCCCAGAACATCCTGACCTAGAGGACTCTGCACTGCCCATGGGAAGAAGTAGCCATAGCTTTTGAAGATGGCAGCTACTCACTGACTGCTGGCTCTGAGCAGAGTTGTATTCATGGGTAATGGGATGGATGAAAGGATGTGCTATCATTTTCAGGAGCAGAAACTTCCTTTGATGCTGAAAAGCTTCTAGTGTGTGAAGCAAAGACTTCTCAGTACCCTGTCATGATTGTCACTGATAGATAGGGAGAGCCTACCTTACTGTCCCCAAAGGGCAGAAGGGAGTTCCCTGAGGGCCTTCAAAACATTTTTATCTTAAGCCTGTTAAGAGTGGGAATGTTCCTGATACACTCTAGGGAGGAAGATTGTGAACCCAAGTGTGAGGAGCCTGGAGAGTTACAGTGCCAGGTCACACCCAAGCCCAAGGATGGGTCAGAGTAGGGAATGAGGAATAACAGTAAACGGGGCAGGACTGGGCTGTTGAGGAAATAAAGAAGAATGATGTGCGGCATTCTTTTTTGCAGGAAAAACTTTAGTTCTACTCTAAAGCTTCTGCCATAGCTATCGTATACATTGCCCCTCGATTTATTGGGAGTTTGGTTGGGGTGATTTTTGCATGCTAGGGATTTCTCTCAATGATCTGCTGCCTCCCTAACCTGACACCACATGCCCAGGCTTCTTTCCAGTTGGAGACACAGAAACCATGCCCCCTGAGTCTGTCCTAGCATAACTGTACCACAGAAATGCCTAGCTCTGGAGATGTCTCCTTGGTTTCAGACCTAAATTCTCCATCTGAAAGAAAAATTTTTAATAGAAATATCCCCTGCATTCACCTACTATACACTTATTCCTACTTCTCAAAACAATTATTGTTATACTTTAAAGTAGGGGTCAGCAAACTATGGTCCCTGGGTTAAACCATAAGCTAAGGGTGGTTTTTACATTTTTTAAATAAAGCAGGGCTTTAAAATGTAAGAACCATTCTTATTTTGTGGACTGTACAAAAAAAAGGTGGCCACCTCAAACTGGATGTCCCAAGTACTTCTTAAAACAGAACTCATTCTCTTTTTCCCCAGACTCTTCCTTCTCTATCTTCCCTATTACCGGTCAAGAACACCAGTTCCCCAGGCTCATAACCTAGGTGTCACCCTCCACTAGTCACCTCCCCCACCCAATTCCCAATTGGTTGCCAAGGCCTGCCAATTTTACCTTCAGTCTCTTCTGTATGTGCCTCCTCTCTCCTTTGATGGCATCCCCATCCTGCAGCTCATCACCTCACACCTGGACTACTGTAATAACATGCTAGCTGTTCTGCAAGGTTCAAGTCTCTTCCCTCCCCTGTAAATCTTCCATTCAGGTGCCAAAGTGATCTTCCTAAAGCACAAGACTGACCATGTTATGCCCTCATTCGAGTGGATCCTGATCACCTCCAGGATCAAACATAAAGCCTTCTGTTTGACATTCAAAGCCTCCCAGCTTTCCCGTCTTCTTATGCCCTATCCTGTGTTCTCTGAGATCCAGTGACATGCTTTCTTGCTGCTCCCCTACAAGACACTGCATCTCAGTTCTGAGCATGTTCACTGGCTACTGCTGATGCACGACATGTTCGCCTTCCTCATAATTGCCTCCTGGCTTCAGCTCCAAGATCCCATTTCTATAGGAAGCCTTTCCCAATCTCCCTTAATTCTACTGCCTTCCCTCTGGTGATTACTTCTAACGTGTCCTCTACATGTCTTGTTTGCATGTTGCCTCCCCCAGTAGACCATGAGTGCCTTGACAGCAGGGGCTACCTTTCGCTTTTCTTGGTATCCCTGGGGTTAGTACAGTACCTGGCACACAGTAGGCACTTACTGATGGGATAAACTGCCCAAGGTCACACAACCACGTGGCAGAGGCACAGCGCAATCCTGGGAAGTCTGCTAACCTCCATCCCCCTGGTCTTCTTGCCACACCTCACTGCTACCCTGCCACAGAATCACCTCACAGCATCCAGAAAGATGCAAATGGAGCCTGGGTGCCCCTCACCTGAGAACCTGGAAAGCATGTCTTCATTGAGGGGGAGGGGCTCACTGGCCTGCCCCTCAGTATCCTTGCAAATCCCACACTCTGTGTCTTTGTTCTGCTTCGAACACTGAAAGGATGAACACTGGGACTGATTAACTGTTTCCTTCTCTCATGGATGTGCAGTAGGAGGTATTACGTGACTTGGAAAGGCACAACCACAGGCTGTCAGCCTGTTTTAAGAGATACAGATTAACATTATGGCTCTGAATGATACACTGTAAGCTTGAAGATGATGCAGTGATAAACAAAGCCTTATGCTGGTGCAATGAGGGTTCTTGATCCAACTGCCCATACCCTCCTCACCTCTGAAAGGCCTCTTTGTTGCCATTACTTGTGCTTGCATATGGGGATGTCTCTCTCAATAGAATTAGAGCTAGCACCCTGAAGAATGTAAGCTCCCTGAGGGAAGTGACTTTTATTTTGTCTGTTTTTGCAGGATCTAGCATAGATAATATGCTTAATAAATGCCTGATTGCTTAGCATCCTCTTTCCATATTTCTGTACGATTCTTGCCTCTTTTCTATGCAAATGGAATTTAAATTGCTTCTGCTTCCATAAAGAAGCACTTGGCATTCTGACTGGCAAGGTGACTGATTTTATAAGTAGTCCTTACTACTTTAATGCCTTCTCTGCAGCAAAGAGGAATGGCCTGGAACCATGCAGACTGCTCAGGTTTAAAGCACCACTCCTCTCTCAAGACAAGGGAATGCCACATGGCCAGAGAAGGAGAGGAGAACATTTGTGCAACCCGCTACATCTGCTAAAGGCTACATTTTAATGGCTTAATCTTACTTCTCATCAATTCCTGTGGTTGACTTAGACACAAAAGAGCCTTGTGTCTCGGGATTCTTGGCAGGGATAACTTTGGGAGCAACACCACAGACAAGGACATTTTCTTATGCAGGGCTTGGATCCCAACCCCTAATTTACTGTTAGTCTTTTGTTTTCAACATGGGGCCATACTCATGAATCATACAAAGGATTCACAACAAAAGGAATGCAAACCTGTGCCTTTCTTCTGTCTGCCCTTTCAATAAGTGCATAGTGATGCCATTAAGTAGCCTTTATTTACCTGACCCATCCATTTGGTATACACTGAATCCATTCCAGCTACTTAGCTTTTGCTTTATTCCACTCAGAGCATCCTAAATGTCTTTACATAGGCATAGTGTAACCCTAGGTAGGTTAATTTCCAAAGGTGGAATGACTTCTATTACTCTGATGGCGAGTAAGTGACCCTTTCAGGCTGAAGGTCTTCTCACACTTATGACATTCATAAGGTTTCTCTCCAGTGTGAATTCTTTGGTGCAGAGTAAGCTGGCCTCTCCTACCAAAGGCCTTCCCACATTCATGACATTCATACGGTTTCTCTCCAGTATGAATTCTCTGATGTTGAATGAGGGGATCTCTCCGGCTAAAGGCCTTCCCACAGTCATTACATTCATAAGGTTTCTCTCCAGTATGAATTTTCTGATGTCGAGTAAGGTGTGCACTCTGGCAGAAGGTCTTTCCACACTCATTACATTCATAAGGTTTCTCTCCAGTATGAATCCTCTGGTGCCTAGTAAGCTCTGTGCTCACATGGAAAGCTTTCCCACAGTCATTACATTCATAAGGTTTCTCTCCAGTATGAATCCTCTGATGTAGAGTTAGGTGTTCTCTGAGGCGAAAGACCTTCCCACAGTCATTACATTCATAAGGTTTCTCTCCAGTATGAATTCTCTGATGTCCAGTAAGATGTCCTCTCTGGTTGAAGGCCTTTCCACATTCATTACATTTATGAAGCTTTACTCCAGTATGAATACTGTGATGTAGAATAAGGAGTTCTCTCAAGTGGAAGGCCTTCCCACATTCATTACATTCATAAGGTTTCTCTCCAGTATGAATTCTTTGATGACGAATAAGGTGTGCATTCTGGCAGAAGGCTTTCCCACACACATTACATTCATGAGTTTTTTCCCTAGTATGAATCTTCTGATGTTGAGTAAGGTGCGCACTCTGGCAGAAGGCCTTCCCACATTCCTTGCATTCATAAGGTTTCTCTCCAGTGTGAATTCTCTGATGTCGAGAAAGCTGTCCTTTCAAGCGGAAGGCCTTCCCACATTCATCACATTCATAAGGTTTCTCTCCAATATGAATCTGCTGACAATGAAGCTGTGCACTCTGGAGGAGGGCCTTCCCACCTTCATCAGGTTTATTCCCTCTAAGACCACTTTCATAGGAAGTAATAGAGGAACTGTGGGTTAAAGGCTCCCCACATTCACTATGTTCGCTATGCTCAATCGGTTGTGGTACAATTTGGGGAGAAGCCTTCTCTAATGTGTTACATTTGGGATTTTTTTCTCCAATATCAGTTGCCTGATAGGAATTAATGAATGGACCAAGAGTGATGGCCTTTCCACATCTGTTAGTGTCATATGGTTTCTCTCCAGCATGTTGTCCATGATATTCATTACACTCTGATTTAGAATTGAAGGAATCCCCACATTCATCATACTTAGAAATTATCTCCTTTGAGCAGACTCTACTACATTCCGTATCACATTTGTGGAGACTTTTTTCCATAGACACTCTCTGCTGTGAGAAAAGTTTTGGTTCTGGCCTGGAGCTCTGGCCATAACTGTGCCATTCAGGGCCCCTCACTACTTGCTGAGGATTTCTCTCCTCAGTGCTCTGCTGCCTCCCTAATCTGGCACCACGTGCCCAGGCTTCTTTCCAGCTGGAGACACAGAGACCATGCCTCCTGAGTCTGTCCTGGCCTGATGACTGTTCCACAGAAATGCCCAGCTCTGGGGGTGACTCCTTGGTTTCAGGCCTCACCTCCCCATCTGAAAGAAATAAAGAAAATGGAAACATCACCTGTACCCACCTGCTGAACACTTAGCAGTCCTCTTTTGTGTCTCTTCCTGAAATAATTATTGAAAAACTTTAAAGAGTAGGAAAAAAATGGGGTCTTTCTTATGTTTGTCAGATTATGCAGAGTTTAGGAAAAACTTTCCCACTGGTCCACACCACAGCTTTGGGAGGAACGGACGACAGCTAGTACATTAAAAGAGAAACCTGAGGCTCAGAACGATTCAGTGATTTGCTCAAGGTCACACAACTCAGTAGCAGAGGCACAGCACAATCCTGGGAAGTCTCCCAACCTCCATCCTCCTGGTCTTCTTGCCACACCTCACTGCTGCCCTACCATGGAGTCAGCTCACAGGATCTGGAAATATGCAAGCACAGCTAGATGACCATCACTCGTGGGGAACAGGGAAAGAATGTCTGCACTGAGGGGGGAGGGGCTCACTGGCCTGCCCCTCAGTGTCCTTGCAAAGCTGATTCTAATCTTCTTTCTGCTTAGAACGATGACAGGAATTAATGGCTGGTATAGCCCATTTCTTCCCCATGTGGACGGGGACTCAGGTCATGACACAGGAAGGCACCTCAGGCTGTCAGTTTGTTTTAAGAGACACAGATTAGACACCTCTAGGTGACACAGTGCGCAGAGGACCTGAAGCTGGAGTCAAGAAGTCCTGAACTTGAATCAAGCCTCAGACTCGATTCAGACACTTATTAGCTGTGTGACCCTAGGCAAATCCTTTAACCCCTCTTGGCCTCAATTTTCTTAATGGTAAAATCAGGATAATAAGAGCATTGCCTCCAAGGGTTCATTGTGAAGATCAAGCCAGATAACATGTAAAGAGTTGTGCAAACCTCAACACGTTACATGAATTGCTGCCATTGGTCTGAAAGACCTATTGCAAAGATGAAGACTGAAATGATGCCCAACACCCGCCACTAGGAGGACTGGGATTCCTGATCCACCCACTGCCCATGCAAATCCTCCCTACTGGCCCTGGACTGGATTTTCTGTTCATTTCACACCTATTTATGCTATCTGTATTCCTAATATTAGTGTCTATTTGCATATGAACATACATAAATACACATGCACCCATACCTGTGCAAAGACACAGACATACAGACATGAATGAACACACACACACACACACTGCATCCCCTCTCAGAACGTGACAGTGTATTTAGGGTAGGGATGGTTTCATTTCTATCTTTGTAGAGATGCAGGCAAGTAATAAAATGCCAGGATCAATAAGAATTTTCATTCCATGTTTCTTTGCAATTCTCCCCTATATGTTTCTTTATATAAATGGAATTTTAAGTCCATCCAATACCATGAAGAAATCTCTTAATCTTCCAGCTGGTCACTGCATTAAATATATAAATTTTAGAAGTATTTATTTTGCTTCCCACTTCATTCATCTGACCCATCCATGAACACTTAATTCCCTCCCATTATTTAGCTCTTTATTTCAGAGTTGTCCTTCTATATTCCCTAAAGACTCCTTGATAGGATCATTTCAAATGTTGCAATAACTTTGGTTATTACCCCAGATGAGGTTTCTTTTTTTATGATGCCTTCTTGAACTTTATGGCTAGTAAATATAGATGAGTTTAATCTTGTATTCTTGTAGCCTGAAAATTGGATGATCTAATTTAGCTTCCTCATGATCTAAGAGAACTGGCAGATGTCTAAAAGATCTCAGGGAATGGGAGGAGTGTGCCAGGATTAGAGAAAGGTAGCAGAAAGGAAAGAGAAGCTAGCCTGAAAAGCTAGCCAGGTCAAGGTTCCTCACTCCAAAGTCAGGGAAAACTTCAAAATGTTAAAGGGAGACAGTTTTCTTATTAAAAGGATGGTGAGTGCCTACACAGAGCACCACGTTCTAGGGAATCACACAGACAGAACTTCATCTCTGAAGAAAAGGAAAACTGAAGAAAACAAGTTTAGGGGCTCCTTAGTCCCCACTGGCTAAGGTGACCCCTGAGTGCGCTGATGACGACAGAGCCCCTTACCAATACTGTACATCATTCATCTATTGTGTCATTTACTATGATAAGTATACATTCATACATTTATTACAAAGTTAAATTTTATTAAAAGTGTCAGGCTACACACTCTCTTTGGGAATGCCTCTTCCTTGTCTCTTCACTATCCAAACTCAGTCATGTGATTTTCATTATATCTTGCACTTTTCATAAGAAAAAGAAATCCATGCTGCAGTGATACCAGTGCTGAGAAGACTTTGCACAGGGTGTGAGATACTCATCTCCGGCTCCTAGAAATGGCACATTTGTATAAGTGCAATATGTTGTTTTCCTTGTTTTGTGTGTTAAATAAATATGATCAAAACTATTTTTAAAAAAATAAAGTTTGGGGCAGGCCTAGAGTTACTCATGATTTTTCACATTCATGGGGGTCCCTGAGCCCTGCAAATATCGAGGGATGACTGTACATAAAATCTATATTTAACAGTTCCGCCATAAATACAAATGCAGGCAGAACTGGAAAAGTTATGGAAGTGACAAAACCCCTTTGCATCAAGACACTCTAAGAAATGCTTGACATCCAAAGTGCATCAAAAATCCACCCATTTATAAGATGGAAAGTCACCCCCAGCAGGTAAGTGGCCCAAGTTTAAGGATGAAACTGGGGTTAGATGTGGAATTCCTTTATTTAAAAAAAAAGGGGGTCCCAATCAAAAATAACAAATATACAATGAAAACAACCCTGAAATTTATCACCTCATTCTCATTAATTTGGCAAAAATGGTAAAAGATGGATGGAAAGAGCTATGGTTGGAAACACCCAATACACTGTTGGTGGCACTGGGAATGGGCACAATGCTGTGGAAATCATTTTACATTATTAGACAAAAACAGTTATGGCTGATAACCTCGATCCAGCAAACCCACTGCTAGGCATGATGATACAAAGAAAAGTAACAAATGGACCAAAATACTCCCCGCAGAACTATCTACAGCAGTGGAGTCAGACTCCAGTGGAGATGGGCCACATGTTAACTTAGAAAACCACAAATTAATGTTAACGTATTTTTATTTTGTTCACCATTTCCCAGTTCCATTTTAATTGGCAAGTTCTACACCTCTGATCTTTACAGGAGCAAAAGCTACCTCTTGTTTGAGGAATATCTAATGAAATAGGATGCATGAATGTAACAGACTGCCACTGAGCTGTAAGGAACAAGTGTGATGAAATCCCAAAGGGGAAAGGCTGGCAAGGACTGATCCTCAGAACAAAGAAGGCAGAAACTGGAGAAAAGCACGCTCCCCAGGGACAACACACAGCACGGAATTCAGACCCAAGGAGAATGCTGGTGCCCAACCAGTGACGCTACAACACTCCCTTTCCGGTAAGACCAGGGCAACCTGAGAAATGGGGAGCGGGTCCGGCTGCTGAGGATGCGCCATCACACCCAAGTCCATACACCGTGGCCATGGGGCTCTAACCAAGAAGGGCTGGGTTTGAATCCTGTGACCCCGCACAAGGTGCTACCCAGCCTGGGCCTCTAAAACAAGGAGGCGGGGCTCGATGGTCTAGCCACATCTAGGCTCCCGGGAGCCATCCCCAACTGGAGGTTGTAAGTCACTCCTGAAAGATGTCGGGAAGCTGGACTTGTTGAGGTGACAGTGAAGGGACTTCCTGGCAGACAGGCAGCCTGGGCTGTTTGTTCTCCCAGGTCTGGGCAGCTGGGAAGGGGAAGCTCCTGTTCAGTACTGTAAGGGACTTCCCCTTACTGATCTGAGAGGCTGCTAGAGGCAGCCCATAGTGCCCAGGGTACTGGGCTTGGAGTCAAGAAGGGCTAATTTCTTGCGAGGCAGCTAGAGGGAGCCACAGTGTAGGGAGCACTGGGCCTGGAGGCAGGATGGGCCAGTTCCTTGTAGGGCCACTAGGGGGTACCCCAGTGCACAGAAGGCTAGGTCTGAAGGCAGGAAGGGCTGATTCCTTGTGAGGTCACTAGGGAGTACCCCAGTGCACAGAGGGCTAGGTCTGGAGGCAGGATGGGCCAATTTCTTGTGAGACCACCAGGGGGTGCCATGGTGCACTGAGCAGCGAACCTAAAATCAAGGAGAGCTTAAATCAAATCCAGTCTCAGATGCTTACTGGCTATGTGACTTTGGGCATGACAATTACCTTGTTTGCCTCAGTTCCCTCATCTGCAAAATGGGGATCATAACAGCACCTACCACGCAGGGTTGCGGTGATAATTAAAACATATTTGGTGCTACGTAAAGTTCCCTCCCTTCCCTTCCCCTGCCAACTCCCACCAGCAGAGACCCTTCCCGAGGACTCCCCTGCCTGGGGGTCAGTCACTCACTCACCTGGATGGCTGCTCCCTGGGACTCTCCCCTCTGGCCTCCAAGGAGCCTCCCCTTGCTCCAGTTGGCAGATTACCTCGGGCTTGGACACGGCCAGTCCTGCCCAAAGGAAATGGAAGTCTCAGGTAAAGATGGAGGCATGGAAGGTCCCAAACAGGCCCGGCATTCTTTCTAGGCTTGCAGTTGGGGGGGGGGGGAGGAGGATCTTATCTTATCTTATCAATCATCTATCATTCCAAGGGAGGCTCACAGAACAGGAGTGACACAACCCACCAGTAGGAGACAGCATCGAGAAAAGAAGGGCATGAGCTGGACAAAAACCCTGCACATCCACATGGTTCCCAAAATGGAAAATGTTGCCCCAGCTCCAAACCTGCCCACTCATTTTCCCCTTTAACAGTGACTTTCTCCAGAATTTTCAGAGTCTCCTAGTTCCAAAGCCTCCTTAGCACAGACAAGATGAAGAGCTCCATATACCATATTCAACAAGAAATTCAAAGTATGTAGGAGAACTGGATATTTAAAATCATATCATCAAAACATCAGAAGAGAAGCCGATCAGAAACCTTTCCCAGCTATGGCTGGGACACGAGTTCTTAACCAAAAGATGGAGGCAATTACCAAAGCTACAAAAGATATATGCAACTGAAAACCTTTGGTAAACAAAATTAGTACACATGAGACCAGAAGAGAAGCAGAGAAATGGGAATAAAATCTTTGTTATCAAATTTCTCAGTTAAGTGTTTGGTATCCAAGGCATAAAGAAAAATAGCCAAAGCACTGAAGGCCAAAAGCCATTCTCCAAGACACACCAGCATTCAAAGGAAATGAGCAAAGACTTCACATTTTTGTAACGTAAACTATTAACACCTGTGTGAAAGCACGGTCCAAAACACTAATTAAGGGATGCAAATCCAATCAGCTCCAAGGCTTCCTCTCTCATCCAGCAAACTAGCAAAGGAGACAAAAGATGGGTCCAGTTCATGCTTAAGAGGCCGTGGAACAATGGGCCCACTTACACACCACAAGCCGAGCAATGAATTACTATGAAAATCAATGCACAGAAAGGGGCCCGACTGTACAAAATGCCAGAGACTACAGAGCCAGGAATGAGGTCACAGATGAAAAAGAAAGTTTCCACATACACAAAATACTTCTAGCAGCAGTGCTTCTGTGGGAGCAAAGGGCCAGAAACAAAGGAGCTGCTCATCCACAGGAGAATGGAACAGAACATTCCTGGGTTAAGGAACGACAGACGAGACGAGTCCAGAGAAGCCTGGGAAAACCAACATGAACTGATGCAGAGTCAAGGAAGCGGCACCAGGAACACAACGTCCTCAAACACGTGAAAAGGGAAGAATCACGACCACAAAATTCCCCAAAGCAAATGCTGGAAGGCTGTGAAGGACAAGTTTGGCAGGACAACACCTCTCCCCTCAACCCCTCAGCAGAGGAGTGGGGGAGGGGATCAGAACAAGGCAGAGGATGTCAGCATCTTTCCAAATGCTGATCAGTTTGGGGGAATTTTTTTCTTTTTTAAAACAGAGTCCATTAGGCAATGACACTGACGCTTGTTCCTGCGACATCTGTCCACGCAGAGGATGAGAGCTGGAGGAATATGGAAGCTGGGGGCCATGCTGTCCCTCGGTCTGGTGGCTTGGAAGAGCCTCTGATGGCTGTATCCAGAAGGCCTCAGATAGCTCACCCCACCCCCACTCTTTACTTCAGTGAGCCAGGAGGGAAGTAAACGCGAAGCCACCTGGCCCCCAATCAATGGGTCTGGGTCCTTCTTGGCCTTGTTATTCTTTCTATGGAACTATGGGAAAATGACCCATAGGAATCCAAGATTCAAAAGCCAGGCCCAGTTCTGCAGGGGCAAAGAAAATGCTACTCTTGGACATGAGCTTGGTGGGATCAATACCAGGTAGGAGCTAAAGAGGCACTTACTTCCCTAGAGACTGAAGTGGTCCAAGCGAGAGTACACCCCACGGGTATCAGAAAATGTTTGTGCATGGTTCTCGCTATAGCTTTGAAGTAAATATTCCTTTGTGAAGGCTACTTGATGCTAAGTGTTAAGTTAAAAGGAACTAGGGCCCCTGACAATGGGGGACACAGCCAGTGGGGGCCCAAGCACAAGCCTCTTGGCATTAAGGTCAGAATTCCATATCTAACCCCACATCTGACCCTAAAGCTACCTGAGACTGAGGAACACCACTAAACCAGACTGAGTGGGTCCACCCCATCCTTCCAAGCAGTTGCTCCACATCTTCCCTTCTTCACTCCAGCCTCCCTCAGCCCGTCCCACCCCATATGCTCTCAGCTAAGGCCTTCGCCTCAAACCAAGGCCATCTGCCAGGGCTGAATGGGGTTTTTTTTGCCCTTATTTTATTCCAACCACTATTATTCAGTTTAGTGATTCCATTGAGGAGTGATTATTTCTATTATACTTGCCTATGAATACATATTTAGTCAGCTTAATCAATTAGTATTAATTGTGTGTGTGTGTGTGTGTGTGTGTACATCTTATAATTAGAGAAAATTAGACAGATAGATCTTATATTTGGATATAATTAAGTAAGTTTAGATAGAGTCTTTCTTATATTAGGCCCTAAAACTTTAAACTACAAGTTCTAAGTTCACTTGCCTAACCCCAGAATTCAGGCTAAAGGACCTCCCCTCTTTTGGCCTGCAAGGCCAGGGTAAGATCTCTGGACAGCCACCTTTCTTTTTTTTCTCGCCTAATCATTGTGACCAAGCCCTCTGGGGCAGAGATGATACATGGGAAGTCCCCCATCTATTTTTTTCCCTTCCACCCTCTGTCATCTCTCTATTGCCCAATGTTAAGAGGCGCCCATTTTACAACCACTTAGTCCATCTTGTGACTGACCATGTAAATGCAGCATCTCCAGCCCTTGTGGAGAATCGAGGTACAGGCCTATCAACCAACGAGGTTCTGTATTTGACTCTGCCTCATCTGTATCATCTGAGTATCAGGCACTACAAAACAAAGACCCTGCAGAAAGGAGGCATCTCAGATCGTGAGGAAGATGAGGTGCCCTCCCCCTCAATAAATGGTTATTGGCTCAGAGTTCCACCTCTGGTTTTTCTTGCAGACTGTACATTTTTGTGGCCCACAGCCGCAAGCTCCGTCTTCTTCTCCCATCGCCCTACGTCATTCCCCACTCTCTCCAGCAAAGAACAGCCCTCTAGTAAAACAATTCTATACACAGCTTTGATCCCTCCCCTTTCCCCTTCTCCAGAGAATCACCCCCATTAGTATCACTCACCTCCAAATCTTCAACCTGTCCCTCACCCTAGTGGTTCCTCCCATTGCCACCTACAGACGCACCTCAGTCACCCGATACTTAAAATATTCCCTGAATCCTACACCTAGAGCTATGCTCCCCCTCTCTATGAAGCTCCTCTAATAAGCCACTGACCCTCATGGGCTCCAGCTCCTCTACTCTGCTTCTCTTCTCAACCCTCTGCAAGTCCGGCTTATGACCACCTTACTCAACTGAAACTGTCCTCTCCAAGGTTCGCTGATGACATCTTCCTTGCCCAATTTCACATAACTGAGCACTCTGGATTGCCTGGTCCTCCTCTCTCCCCTGGGGGTTTGGTGTCCCAGCTCCCCCAGGCTTCTCCTCCCTCTCTGACCACTCCTCAGTCCCCTTTGGTGGATCTTCATCCAAGATTCTGTCCTGGGCACTCCTCTCCCTGCATAGGATCCCAACCTGATCAACTCCCACAGGTTCAATTATTACCTCTATGCAGGCCATCTCAGGGCGACATAACCAGCTGTATGGGAGGCCATCTCCTCTCCACTTACCAGCTGCCTTTAGACATCTCAAACTACAAGTGTGGTAGGTGCCCTCTTTGACCCGCCTTGCCCTTCTCTAACTTCCCTGCCGCTGTGGTGGGCACCACACCCCCAGCTCCTAACACGAGGTGATCATTGCTGGGTCCAACTCTTCATGACTTCATTTGAGGTTTTCTTGGCAAAGATACTTGAGTGGTTTGCCATTTCCTTCTCCGGTACATATTACAGATGAGGAAACTGAGGCAAACAGAGTGAAGCTCAGGGTCCAACAGCTAATAAGTATCTGAGGCCAGCTTCGAACTCAGGTCCTCCTGAGTTTAGACCCAGTGCTCTACCCACGGCACCATTACAAGGTTTTCACTTAGGCCTTCTCTTCTCCCTACACTCCATCATCAGCTCCCACAGATCCAACTCTCATCTCCCAGTCTGTATGTATCCACTACCAGCTTCTCAATAGAGCGCCAGTCCTATAGCACCAATGATGGGATATTTCCAACTGAATGTCCCGTTGGCATCTCTAACTCAACATGCTCAGAACTGAGATCATCTTTCCCCAAAAAGCTTCCCTTCTTTCCGACTTCAGGATTTCTTTGGCAAGGACCGCCTTCCTTCAGGTACACTAACACACGATGCTTGACTCACCTCTTCAGGGGCCACCCTCTTCTCTCTCTCCCGGTTCTCCCCCTGCCTCTATGACCACTCCTTCTGAATCTTCCTCCAGACTATTCCATCTTCTCTCCTTCTCTAACCTACTTCACTGGGTGACCTCATCAGCTCCCTTGGATACAATTATCATCTCTATGCAGATGATTCTCAGATCTATTTAGCCAGCCCTAAGCTCCCTCCTACTTCACCTCCCCAACTGCCTCACACATCTTACACTGAATATCCAATAGACATCTTAAACTCAACCTATCCAAAACAGAACTCATTATATTTACCCTACACTCCTTTGCTGTGATTGCAGAGGGCACCACCATCCCCCAGTCCCTCAGACTCACAACGTAGGATCATCCTGGACTCCTCACTATCTCTCAGCCTCCAGATCCAACATGGTGCAAATGTCTGCCAACGTCACTTCTGCAGCACCTCCAATATACCCCTTTCTCTCCTCTGACACTGCCTCAAGCCTGGTGACATAGGACTGGAGCTCCACAGAGAGGTACAGACACTGATCACCTCACGCCTGGCTTACTGCAATAGCTCCTGGTGGGTCTGCCTGCCTCGAGACTCTCCCCACTCGAGTTTATTCTCCATTCAGCCACTGAAGTGATTTTCCTCCAACCAGGTCTGATCACATCACCTCCCTACTCAATAAATTCCAGGGGTTCCCTATGGCCTCCAGAATAAAGTACAAAATGCTCTGTGTGGTGTTGAAAGCCCTCCTCCCTTTCCAGGTTTCTTACACCTTCCTCCCCACCAGGAAAGCCCCCAGCCTCCTGCTGTGTCCCTCTCTCAGCTCGGGGCATTCTCTTTGGCCATCCTGGACCATTCTCCCTCCTCTTCTACACTCATTGACCTCCCAGGCTTCCTTTAAGTCCCGACTGAAACTTCACTTTCTGCAGGATGCTTTCTCCACCCACTCTTTATTCAATGCTTTCCAGTTTAGCCTGTAGAGTTCGTCTGTTTTTGCGTGCATGCAGTCTCCTCCATTAGACTGTGAGCTCCCTGAGGGCAAGGGCTGCCTTTTACCTCTTTTTGTATCACCAACACTTTTTGAATCCTATAGTGCCTGGCACACAGTAGGTGCCTAATAAAAGCTGAATGACTAACTCTGTTTCCACCTACCCAAGCAGCTTCTAAATGGTGACAATTCTGTCTCCACAGGTCTCCCATTTATGCCCTTCTCTCCACCCTACTCACAAGGCCATCACCTTGTCTAGGCCACCATCACCTCTCTCCTGCACCACTGCGACAAACTTAAAATGGCCTCTCTGCCTCTGCTTTCTCCCTTCCCAACCCCTCCTTCCCAGAGGTTGCCAAAGAAAAACTCATAAAGTATAGGCCAGACCATGGCACTCCCCTGCTCAGGAAGCTCCAGAATTAAAGGCAAACTTCTCCATACAGCAAGAGGAGGTTATCCCCAGGAGTTCAAGGATGCCTCCATTGTCCATCTCTAATAAGGAAAGGGAAATAGATCATCCTGAGACAATCATAAGGGGGTCTCTTTCTTAGTTACTGCCAGTAAAAGTCTTGCCAGAGTCCTCCTAATAGGTTGATCCTTCACCTGAAAGACAGTCATCTACCTGAGAACCGCTGTGGCTTCAGAAAGGGCCAAGGAGGGGCAGCCAGGTGGCGTAGTGCATACAGCACCAGCCCTCAAGTCAGGAGTACCTGAGTTCAAATCCAGCCTCAGACACTTGACACTTACTAGATGTGTGACCCTGGGCAAGTCACTTAACCCCACTGCCTAGCCAAAAAAAAAAAGAGAGAGAGAGAGAGAGAGAAGAGAAGAAAACAGAAGGGCCTAGGAACAGTCAACATGGTGTTTGCTGTCTGACAACCCCAGGAGAAATGCCAGGAGCAGAACAGAAATCTATACACAACATTCATCAATCTGATCTGGGCCTTTGATACTGTCAGTCATAGGGGCTTGTGGAAAACCATGTCAAAATGTGGTTGCCCAGAGAAGTTCACCAGCATTGTAGGTCAATTCCATGACAGCATGTTTGCCTGGGTTCTGGATAACGGACGATGCTCTCATACTTTCCCAGTCACCAATGGAGTAAAACAAAGCTGTGTGCTTGCTCCCAAGCTTTTCAGCATTATGGTTTCAGCCATGTTGTCAAAGGATGACCATGGCATCAAGGTCAGCTACTGCGCTGATGGCAAATTCTTCAACTTGAAAAGGCTACAAGCCAAGACCAAAGTGGAGGGAGTGTTGGTGCATGACTTTCTATCTGCAGATGATTGTGCACTCAATGCAGCCTCTGAAGCTGAGATGCAGCAAAGTATGGATCAATTCTCTGCTGCTTACGCTCATTTTGGTCTAACAATTCTCACCAAGAAAACATAAGCTCTCCACCAGCCACTACCACACCATTCATTGGTTACAGCAAATGGAGATGTTTGGAATGCTGCGGTAAGTTCACTTACCTTGGCAGTGTACTTTCCAGAGATGTGCACATTGATAATGAGGTTGAGGCATGCATTGCCAGAGCTAGCTCAGGGTTTGGGAGGCTCTGAAGGACAGTGTGGGAGAGGAGAGGGATTAGACTGCCTATCAAACTGAAGGTCTACAGAGCCAGTGTGCTGACCTCATTGTGTACACCTGTGAACCCTGGGCAGTCTACCAGCACCATGCCAGGAAACGGAATCGCTTCCATGTGAATGGTCTCAGGAAGATTCTGAAGATCACCTGGCAGGAGAAGGTGCCAGACACTGAGATCCTTTCCCAAGCTAGCCTGCCAAGTATTCAAACTCTACTGCAGAGAACGCGACTCTGATGGGCTGGCCATGTTGCTCGAATGCCAAATGTACGCTTGCCATAAAGACTATTTTAATGGAGAACTCACAGAGGGCAAGCCCTCACATGGTCATCAGAAAAAGCGATACAAGGTCACTCTCAAGATCTCTTTGAAGAGCTCTGGAACTGATTGTGTGACATGGGAGACCCTGGCACAGGACCGCCCAGCACGGTACCCTCATCAGAGGAGGTACTGCGCTCTATGAGCAGAGCAGAACTGAAATAGCTCAAAAGAAACATGAGATTCGAACATTTAGAGACATCTCCATTCCAAATGTTCATATGGACTATTTGTGCCCAAGCTGTGGTAGAGCTTCCACACCTCCACACAGTGATACCATTTTGGTCCTCTTCACCAGGACCAAAGACATATGACTGACTGATGCCCCAGTGGCCTCCATCCATAGGTGACCCTCCATCCCCAGGCTCCACACCTCTCTCCCCTCTACACTTGGCAGGATCCCTTTAAGGTTCTGCACAACCCTCACCCCTTGCTGACCCCCCCCAAGGTGCTGGTGCCTTCTCCCACCCCCACCCCAGAAACAATCAGCACTGACTCAGCAAAGGTCAACATCCCCCCCCACCCCAGCACCTCGCACAGCGCCTGCCACATTGTCTAAGACCAAGGGACAGACTCCTTTGGTCCAAAGTGTGTCACACAGTCACCTCTGGGCCCTCAGAGGCCAAAGGGTTTTTACCAAAGGAGACAAAGACCCTTCTAGGGCTGAGGAGGGGAGAGGAGACAGTGCCCGAGTTCCAAGGGAAGCCGTCCTCACCCAGGCAGAGCAGATTCTGATAGTTCTCCAGCATCACGTCCCGGTACAGCTCCTTCTGGGAAGGGTCCAGGTACCCCCACTGCTCCTGTGTGAAGACCACGGCCACATCCTGGAAGGTCACTGGGTCCTGAAACACCAAAAGGCTTTATTTGTGCTTGTCCAGGGTCTGGCCCTCAGATGGCCCTGGGGGTCCACGGGAGGGGCCAGAGAGCATGCAGGGGGGCTTGTTCTCGGGGGTCTGGCTTCACCAGGGGCCAAGGCAATCATCACTGCAGGAGCAACACGGCGTGGCAGAGAGAGGGCAGAGGACCCGGGTACAGCCTCCTGATCCTGCGACCCAGCATGCGTAACCTTTCTAGGCCTGTTTCCTGTCTGTAGATAGCTGGCCTGGGTGGTCTCTAAGGTCCCTAAGGTTCTGCAATTCTAATATGTGCCACCTGTGTCTTTCCTCCTACTTGTGCTATAAGTCGGCGTAGTAACCCCATTTCACAAAGAGAAAGACTGAGCCTAGGAGAGATAATTGGCAAGCTCAGGGCCATACAGCTAGCATCTGAGCTGAGGCTCAAACCCAGGTCTTCTCACTCATTGCCAGTTCCCGATCTTTCCACTAAACAAGTCCATGCCCCCCCATATTCGTCTCCCCAGAATAACATGACTGAGCCAAAAGTTTGCTCTGACTCCCCTACACTGGTGTCTGCCTCCTAACCTCTCATAACAGTTGTCCCACTCTAAAGAGGGATTCTCTGTGCGAGGCAAAGTCCTCTGGACACTCCTATGAACAAGCCACCTGAATCAGATCTGGACCGCGGATCCAGACACCAAGGACTGCGGCACAATGATGCACGCAGGGACAGCCCAGGAGATGAAGAAGGTCTCTGGTGCCAGAGGAGGGACATTGTACCTAAGGCTGCTCGTACAGGCTCACTGCAAAGGACCGTGAGTTTGACCCAGAACTGAATGAGGGCAAAGAGAGGAGATCGTCTCTGGGTTGCCGCTGAGCTCTTCTAATGGCCCCAGCCTTCTCAACTGAACACAGCTGGATCATTTTGTCCCGAGGATGCTCCCTACTCATTCTCCCAGGAGCAGGAGGCTGACAACTCTTCATCAGAGTTCTAGGGTTTGGGTTACATCTCCTGACTAACACAAGAATTGGATTTTAGAGAGGAATATTCATTTCAAAGCCACGGCAAGCACAAAAGTACACACAACTCCCCCAACACTTTAGGAGAACACTCATCCCTTTTCCATTTCAGTCTCTGGGGAAAGAGGCATCATCCCACCAAGCTCAGCAGCAGACACGGCCTCATCCCAGCTCCTGTTAGGCTAGGAGCTACACAGAGAATCTGGCAGGCTCACTCTGCTGACCCAGCCAACCTCTTCTAGACTAGGAAAGAGTGAAAGGCCTGGTTTTCCTGGGGCCACAGACTGGCCTCAGAGGGCAGAGGCAGCCACCAAAGAAAGTGAGAACAGGCTAAGGCCTTTGGAAGTCATTCCCAGGTCTGACCGGCTGCTGGCCCAAACATGCAGACTGTCCACACAGGTTCCAATGTCTCTCAGTCATCATGACACTTCCAGTCTCTTCCACGTGGACAGAGTCTTATCAGGGGTGCTCTAGCAACAGGCCAGTCTGTCCCTATCCATTCTTCGGGGATCTGGAGGGACTGGGAAATCAAAAACAGAGGTTTAAGATCACTCCAAGGGCAATGCAGAGGCAGCCTCTGGGGGGGAGCAACAGCGCCACTTCATAAACACAGAACTGGACCCAGGCTGTCATCAAAGAAAGGAATGATAGAGACAGAGGAGGGCAGAGGATAACTGGAGTCCAATGTACTGGGTGAATTTGCCTGGCAAAACCCTCAGGAGATGCAGGAAGGGACAGAGGCAATCCCCACTGACAAAAGAACACCCACCCCAGGGTGATCACAAACCCTTCACAGTTCTCAGCACCAAAACAACATGGCCATGAATCTCCACCAGCAACTGAGTACTCTTCCTATCAGGTAACAAATTCGCTCTAAAATGCACAGTGTCAGACTAATTGCTTCCTATAGGCCCCATCTCCCTCTACCCAAAAATGTCCCCTTTAACCTACGTATCCTGGGCCACCAAAACCAGAAAAGCCAGTTAATGGCACTCTCAGAAACTGACTCGTCACTTCTATGTTTCAGCCACGTATTTGCAGGTACGTTATCAGACCTTGCCCAGACAGAACTGACTATGGGAGGCAGCTTGATGCAGCAGCAGGTGGGGTGAATCGGAGGCCCAGGGCCTGAGTTCAAATGCTGACTCTGAAGCTGGATCCGTGTGAGACTATGGCTAAATTGCTTAAGCCCTCTGTGTGCCCATTCCCTCATCTACAAAATGAGAAGGGCCTTTCTAGCTCCAGAGTTAAGACATCACGACTAAGAATGTTTTCATCTAGGCTCCATCTGAAGCCCTCCAGCACTGGGGAGCTCCCCACCATGAGAGCCCATTCCACCCGCTGGGAGACTGCCATTTCCGTCTCTCTTCCCAAACAGAGCCCATGCCGGCCCCATAGAGGGCCTTGCTAACTCGTCCGGTTTTCCCAGAAGCCCTCCTCAGAGGATCTGCCCAGGAGGGAGGCCAGTGGAGCACAGGAGCTGCCCACCATTCGTGCCAGTCACAAGTCAGTGCACAGAAGGCACTTACAACATGCCAAGCCAGTCACTCCCTGATAACCCTAAAGCCCAACTTGTTTGTGGGTCAGCTCCACTGATGCCCTGGGTTACCCACAACTTGGAACCCTAATCCTGAACCTGCCACATTACCAGATGTGGAACCAGATGGTGCCACGAGGTCTACCTGCTGAAGACGGGTTTTTGAGAGCCTTTAAAAAGAAGCTCAGATGGGCAGCTAGGTAGCGCAGTGGATAGAGCACTGGCCCAGATTCAGAAGGACTTGAGTTCAAATCCAGCCTCAGACACATAACACGTAAAAGCTGTGTGACCCTGGGCAAGTCACTTAACCCCACTGCCTACCAAAAAAAAAAAAGAATAAGCTCAGAAAAGGGCACCAACACCTAGGGCAGCTTTGTGCCTACTGAGTTCGAGGTACTTTTTTAGACCCAGATCAGGACAGAAATTCCGTTTCACAACAGAACCATTTGTCCTGCTCTTTGTGGCCTGTGTTTGCTGGTGACAAAGTTCATAACAACTCATTCCCCTCACAACACTAGCTCAGCATCATGCCACCGTCCATGGTCAATCCAGCTCGTCCTCCTGATTCATCCTCTGCCCTTCTGCGGCACCTTGGCAAAGAGCAGCCCTGATGTGCCCAATGAAGGGGCTGCCCCCACCCCACGTACCTATCTGCACCCTCTTCTCCCAGCACTTGAATCTCCCAGAAGAGGTCCTATGCTTCATGGGATTAGGCCAGCCCTAGAAAATCCCTCAGGCATTTGGACCCTGGGTAGCTGAATGTCCAGGACACAGCTGCCTTTCCTAAGCCTCACCTGACACGAACAGTCACAGAAGAACAAGGTCACCTTGGGGTTTCAGGGATCAAAGAACCATGCATCACCATGAGGTTCTACCCTTAAACCATCAGACAGACAAAGAATGACAGATGTCAAAGGGGCTACATTGGACCAGCCATTCTGGAAAGCAACTGGGAATGAGGGAACAAATTGGGAACTGTGCCCCAAAAGTGTTTACTAAAATGTGTGTTCCCTTTGATCCAGCAAGACTGCCACAGGGCCTATCCCCCAGAGAGATCAAAGAAAGAGGGAAAGGCCCCTATGCACAAAAATGTTTATGGCAACTCTTTTGGGAACAGCCAAAAACTGGAAATTAAAGGGGTGTCTTCCTCCTGGGAAACAGAATATTATTGTGCCAAAAGAAAGGATGAAATGGGCAGTTTTAGAGGAATCTGGTAAGTCCTCTATGAACGGATGCAGAGATAAATGAGCAGAACTAGGAGAACAATGTGTACTATGACCCCACTGAAAGCTTTTCGAACTGCAGTTGGCAAGTCCAGAAGACGGAAGAGCAGTGCCCCTCACCTCCTACTGGAGAAGTTTCAAACTTAAAATGTAGAGGAAAAAGAAACAGCCAGCACTTTCACACAGCTCGGCGGAGGGGTCCTCAAAGGAGAAATCTCACTCTGACTTAGGGCAAGCATAAGGAAATCCTCATCTCTGCTGCCAAGCCACAGCCAGGCAACACACATTTGCCCGATAATCATAACAACAGCTCCATTTATTTTAACATTCCCAGTTTTCTCATAAGCAAATGAGCAACTGTAACATCAGAGGTGGAAAGAGACTTGGCCACAGCCCGGAGAAATTCGTGCTCTTCCCTGCAAATCTCACGTTTCTTTTCATCTTTGACCTTTGTCAACCGTGTGAAAGGTCACCACCCCCCCCACTCACCTCTTGGGCTTTGGATCTGGGAAACAAAGGGGCCATGGCTATTGCCACAAAGTTCACTTCTCTTGAGCGATGAGAAGGCGGAGCGGGAGAGGAGCTCAGCACGGGCTTGGCCATCCCCCGCTCTGGACAGGGCTAGCAAACCAAGGAGGGCTCCAACAGGGAGGAGAGCTGCGGGGCGGGAGGCCCTGGAATTCCATGGGGCTCCAGCTGGGTGGGACACCTCATATCCTCAGCCTCAGTTTCCGCATCTGGACAGTGGCGAGGAGTAGCACACGCCTTAAGGATCACTGTGGTGAACAAATGAGATAAGCAAATCTGGGTGCCGGGGAACAAAGATGCAGAGGAGGGGAGGGGGCAGAGGGTTCTCGAAGGAGCCAAGCCTGGAGCCGAGGCTCCAAGGGCGAAGACGGAGAATGCCCTTCCTGGCACAGCCTGAGCAAATGCACGGAGGCTAGAAACGCAGGTCGTGGAGGCCCAGGGAGTCAGCTAGCGAGGCCAGGATTCTGGGCTTCAAGGAACGGCCTCAGGAGGGGGCGCTCTGCCCTGGACCAAAAAGAGGGAGGGAACGAGCACTGATAGAGCGCCTACAGGTTACGCCAAGGGGGGAGGGGACAGGGGAGGGCGGGCACGGGGCGTGGCCTGGAAATGGCCGCTAGGGCGGAGCCCGGGAGGCGCCCGGGAGGGCCGGAGGCTCAGGCCGTGGCCTCAGGTCTCTCCCAGGAGGCGCCGCCTTCCTCGCCCACCCCACTTCCCGCAGCCGCACGCGGTCCCGCAGAGCCCAGGCCGCTCCGAGAATCGGAGGGGGAGGGGCACGAGGAGGAAGCGGAAGCCACGTGAGGCGCGTCCTCCAATCCCCGCCCCTCTAAGGGCCAGGCGTAGCGCCACTTTCAAGGCAACCATCGTCCTGGAAACGCAAGACCTTCTGGGAAATGTCGTGCGGCGGCGCGGGCAAGCTAGGCGCATGCGCGGAAATCCCTCCCTTGGCCTCGCGCAGTTCGTCTGTGGGATGGGGATGTTCTGGAGGCTGGAAGCTCAGGTCTGGGGCACCTGCGTGCCTGCCACCCCGCGGTGACCACCGCTAGGCGTCGCCTCTGCCCCTGGCACTCTCAGTTGTGGGTGAAGCTCTCAGGGTGCCCTGCCAGGCCTGCCAAGGGAGGAGGGGGAGAAAGATGCCAGGTTTTTTAATCTTCTAAACAAACCTCTTCCCTCTCGGAAAAGTGCGCCGGGATCCCCACCCGGGGAGTTGGACCCCGCCGGCCCTCCCATCGTCCCTTTATTTCTCCTCATTCAGAGCCTTCACTTCGGGCTGCCCGTGTCCCAAAGAAGCTCAGAATCCAAGTGCCCGCGTGCAGGCGTGAGGACCTGCCTACAATAAGGAAAACTCTTACAAAACTACAAAACTACAGACCATGAAGCGGTAAAGCTACAAAACAAAACTACAGATATTTCGTGCGGGGAGCTCTGTGAAAAGGAAAAGACGTCTTCCAGGGGACAGAGCCAAGATGGCAGCGTAAAAGGAAGCAGGGCGCTCGATGGAGAAATCCAGAGTCACCGAGAGTCCTTGGTCCCGCCAGCGTCGGCATAAGGGGACAGAGGGGTCTGCGGACCCTTGGAGAGCCTATGCACAGCACAAAAGGAGGGCCCAGACTCACAGCAGGACACTGTTACGGGCACAGATGCCAACTGGTAACTTTGTTGCCTCCTACACCATGCTAGGTCGAAGATGTAGGACCAAGTGAGGGGGAAGCTCAGAAGTGACTCAGAGTTCAGGTGCAGAGCAAGGTCTGTCTTCCAGTATCTAGCTCAGCCTGCAGAAAAATAACCAAGGCAGAAAACCCATACCAGTCTGCCTCCTTGAACCAACAGAGCTTTCCAGTTGACTGACAGGGTCAGAGTCCAGCCCAAACCCAAACCCAGGTCAGGAACTTGTAGAGCTCAGACCAGGGAAGCCACAGACTGCTCTGGATCAGATCCCTTTGGGAGCACATATCTCCAGCCTGCCCCAAGAAAGCAGTGATAGGAGCAGGCCAGACATTCCCTGCAGAAGATGGCAGAGCCAAGCCCTAACGTCCAATCTGAAGTCAGAAAGTAGGCTAGAAGAATGGGGGGGGGCGGGGAGAGCCACACTATAATGAGGCACGAACTTGGCTAGGTTCCTACAGGAGATGAAGCAAGAGATTTGTTTTGTTTTTTAAGAGTTTAAAAAAAATTTTAATAAATAAAATGGGTGCTTCAGAAAAAAAATGGAAAAGGAAGGAAAGCTATGAAAGAAAGAACTGAAAAAGGAATTAACACTTTGGCACAGGAGGCACAAAACCTCTTGCCTAAGAAACAAACTTGCTGAAAATTCGAATGAACCAAAGAGAAGGCAATAACTTTGTGAGACAACAAAAAGTATTAAAACAAAGTTAAATGGCTGAAAAACTGAGGGGGAGGGCAAGGATGTAAAATATCTCAAGGCAAAAACAACTGACCTGGAAAACAGGTCAAGGAGATTTTTGAATCATTGGACAATCAGAACAAGATTTTTTAAAATTAATTTATTTTGAATTATCAACAATCACTTCCATACGCTTTTGAGTTTTCAATTTTTCTTCCCCTCCCTCCCCAAGACAGCGTGCAATCTGATATAGGCTCTACATATACATTCCTATTAAACATTTTCAGATTAGTGATGTAAGGAAGAATTAGAACCAATAGGAGGAACCACCAGGAAGAGGAAACAAAACACAACAGAAGAAAAAAAATTAGCAAATAGTATGCTTTGATCTGCATTCAAACTCCATAGTTCTTTCTCTGGATGTGGATAGCATTTTCCAACATGAGGCCTTTCCAACATGAGATGTCTTAGATCCTTGTATTGCTGAGAAGGGTTAAGTTTATCAATATTAGTCACCGCTATGTGGCTGTTATTGTGTACAATGTTCTCCTGGTTCTGCTCACTTCACTCAGCATCAGACCATACAGGTTTTTCTGAAGTCTGTCTGCTCAGCATTTCTTATAGTACAATAGTATTCCATTACATTCACATACCACATCTTGTTCAGCCATTCCCCAAGTGATGGGCATCCTCTCAATTTTCAATTCTTTGCCACCACAAAAAGAGCTGCTATGAATATTTTTGTACATGTGGGTCCTTTTCCCATATGTATGATCTCTTTGTGATACAGCCCTAGAAGTGCTATTGCTGGGTCAAAGGATATGCCCATTTTTATAGCCCTTTGGTCATAGTTCCAAATTGCTCTCCAAAATTGGATCATTTCACAACTCCACCAACAATGCATTAGTGTTCCAATTTTCCCACATCTCTAACATTTATCATTTTCCTGTTTTCTCATCTTGGCCAATTTGATAGGTGTGATGTGGTTCCTCAGAGTTGTTTTGATTTGTGTTTCTCTAATCAATAGTGATTTAGAGCATTTTTTTTCTTTCTTTTTTTTTTCTTTAGGCAGTTGGGGTTAAGTGATTTGCTCAGGGTCACACAGCTAGTAAATGTCAAGTGTTTGGTCTGAGGCCGGATTTGAACCCAGGTCCTCCTGACTTCAGGGCTTTTTTTCATATGACTATAGATAGCTTTAATTTCTTCATTTGAAAACTGCCTGTTCATATCCTTTGAGCATTTCTCAATTGGGGAATGACTTGTATTCTTATAAATTTGACTTGGTTCTCTACATATATTTAGAAATGAGGACTTTATCAGATACACTGGTTGTAAAAATTCTTTCCCGGTTTTCTGTTTCCCTCCTAATCTTGGTTGCATTGACTTTGTGCAAAATCTTTTCAATTTAATGTAATCAAAATTATCCATTTTGCATTTCATAATGTTTTGTATCTCTTATTTGGTCATAAATTCTTCTGTTCTCCACAAATCTGACAGATAAACTATTCCTTGCTCTCCCAGTTTGCTTACAGTGTCAGCCTTTATATCTAAATTGTGTATCTATTTTGACTTTATTTTAGTATATGGTGTAAGATGTTGGTCTATGCCTAGTTTCTGCCATAATATTTTTCAGTTTTTCCAGCAGTTTTTGTCAAATAGTGAGTTCTTATCCCAGAAGCTGGGGTCTTTGGGTTTATCAAACAGTAGATTACTATAGCCATTGACTACTCTGTCTTATGTAGCTAACCTGTTCCACTGATCCACCACTCTGTTTCTTAGCCAGTACCAAGCAGTTTTGATGATTGCTGCTTTATAATGCATTTTAAGATCTGGTATGGCTAGGCCACCTTCCCTAGCATTTCTTTTCATTAGTTCCCTTGACATTCTGGTCCTTTTGTTCTTCCAAATGAATTTTATTATTATTTTTTCTAGCTCTATAAAGTATTTTTTGGTAGTTTGATTGGTATGGCATTGAATAAGTAAATTAGCTTAGGTAGAACTGTCATTTTTATTATATTAGTTTGGCCTACTCATCATCAACTGATGTTTTTCCAGTTATTTAGATCTGACTTTATTTGTGTGAAAAGTGTTTTGTAACTGGGTTCATATAGTTCCTGGTTTTGTTTTAGTGGGTAGTCTCCTAAATATTTTATAATTTTTTTTTAAAAAAGAGCCTACAAATAATATTTTATTTTTAAATCTTATTATTTATTTTTGACATTTTGTGTTTTGTTTTGTTTTTGCTTTTTGGTGAGGCAATCGGGGTTGCTTGCTCAGGGTCACACAGCTTTAAGTGGGGCTAAATTTGAACTCAGGTCTCCTTGACTTCAAGGCCAGGGCTCTATCCATTGCGCCACCTAGCTGCCCCAATTTTTGACATTTTAAAAAACAATTTTGAGTTTCAAAGTCTCTTTCCCAACTGCCCTTCTCCTACCCACTGAGAAGGCAAACAATATGATCAATTATATATGTGACATCATGCAAAGCATATTTCTATATTACACGTATCACACAAAAAGAAAGAAAGAAAGAAAAGAAAGTGAGAAAATTACACTGCAACTTGCACTCAGAGTTCAGCAGTTCTCTTTCTGGAGGTGAAAAGTAACATTATTCAAAATGAGTCCTTTGGGTTAGGGTTAGGATTAATTGTCTTGCATCATTGTCTTGATCAGAGTAGCTAAGTCTTTTGCAGTTGATCATTGCTACAATA